TTCACTGTATGCAGGGTGTCTGCAGGTTTCAGCCAGTTCCATTTCAGACTTTTTAAATACCTTTTTTAATACCACTTGGAACACAATTGAACACCGATTTCACAGCCCAACGGCGTTTAGGTAAATGGCAGTCCTCAACCTTGAACGGTTTTATAAGTATACAAATGTATTGTGCATGTCACCTTGGACAAAAGCATCTGCTAAATGTCTAAATAGTAACTTCATAGCAGCAACTTTGTGTCCTGTTGTTACACATAACTGGCGAATTCCAGTTCATACTGCCTCACAAATCATTCGATAGGAAGATGTAATTTTAAAATGTACAAAAATCCTATTGAAATACAAATACACACATTCTTCTTCTTCAATCAACCACCAATGTGTTGTGGGGTGGGGGTGTGTAACGTCTGTTTGCCCATGCACTAATATATATATATATATATACTGTATATATATATATATAGAGAGAGAGAGAGAGAGAGAGAGAGAGAGAGAGAGAGAGAGAGAGAATTGGCTTTAACGGCCCACACTGGGCCACTAACTGGACTGTGAAGTGTGTGTGTGGGGGGATGTGAAGTGGGAACGCCGTTACATAATCGGCGGACGTTTAGTGACGGCCCCAACCTGTGACCACAGCAGGTACTTGCTGGTGGGCGTGGTCGATGGCGCCGGCTATCTTCTGGATACAGCGGTCGGCGGTGATGGAGCCCAGCGAGGAGCCGGGGTGGAAGTTGTAGAGGCCCAGGCCCAGCGCCCGGCAGCGGCCCAGCTCGTCCACCAGCATGGCCCGGCTCTTCTGAAACACATCTGGGAGGAGGAGGTGCCGCCACCGGTTGAGACCGAGACTGAGACTGGATGAGATGGTGTAAGGATGGACATTGGGTGGGGTGTAGTGTCTCATGTAGTGTGTCGTCATGGTGATTAGGGTGCTTAGGACTTTGGATAAATGGCTTAATGGGCCAACAGTAATTGATCAGAAGTTAGGCTGAAGCCAACCACAAACCGTCTCTAGGAGATCCGCAGTTCATGAGGTAGGAGCCGTGCGGCAGGACGTGGCGCGTGGGGTCGTAACCCCGCGCGGCACACCGCTCGCGGAACCGGCGCGCCGCCTCCGGGTCCAGGGCGGACCTGGTCCAGGACCGCTGGGACCCCAGGAACAGGGCGAAGCACCGGCCGCCCATCTCCGCGCTGCTTTCCACAGCCTCCCATAGCCCGCCTGCGGGTCGGCGGAGGAGACCAATAACAGGTCAGGTCTGGAAACAGTGCGGTTATTGACGTCGCCCCCCCCCACACACACCTACCCCGTATGGCGACGTGCGCTCCGATGTATTTGGCGCCCGCGTGGCTCCCCCTCTTGGCCGGGCTTTCCCGTCTCCCCGCGTTGGACTTTCCTCCCCCTCCCGACCCCCGCGCATCCCCCGCTTTCCTCTTCCTCGTGACGGACGCCGCCGCCATTGCCTTCAAACACACTTCTGTTATCAGGAGGAAATAGCGCGCGCGAGCGCTAGTGCCTGTGCCGATACGGAGCCGAGTCCAACACGTGGACATAGAGGAGACATGCGCAGAGCCCCGAACGAACACCAATAATGCAAATAAATAAATAAAATACAAATAATAATAAAATAAATACATAAAATAATAATAATAAAAAATAATAAAATAAATCAATTAAATAAAAATAATAAAATAAATAAATTAAATAAAAAATAATAATAATAAAAAGTTAGTTTAGTGAGTGAAGGTCACGGCCCCCCCCCTTTCCTCCCCTCCCTCCCGCCCCCCCGCGGGCGCTGACAGCGGCGGGCCAGTCGGAGCGCGCGCGCGCACGCGCACGCCGACGCCGCCGTTACGCGCCGCCCCCCCCAACTGGAGTCGCGCGCTCAACGCTGAGCAGCAAAATGGCCGATCGTCGTCCGCCTACTGACTCCACCACCGCGCTCTGAGGGAAGGGAAAAAAAACAACAAACTAAACCGCCGTTTCTCCTCGCGACGCGTAACGGTTGCTGTTGCTGTTGTTGTTGTTGTTTTTGATTTTTTAACACGATCGCCACGCCGAGTGAGGGGGGGGACGTTATTTGACGTGACGACCACGACACGGCGTAAAGACCGAGCGACCGGACCCGTAGTGCGGCTCACCCTCTCTCTCTCTCTCTCTCTCTTTCACCCTCTCTCTCCCCCCACTCTCCCCCCTCTCTCTCTCCCTCTCTCCACTAGCCACCCACTCGGACGTGTCTGCGCAGGCGTGGCGGCTGATCTCGTAGCCTCGACGAATGCCTCAAAAAGCGAAGAAAAAAATCGCACTGAAGCACTTTAGCCAGCTAGCTAGCACGCTAGCTGCTCTTCATATGTGATTCCTGTGGTGAGTGAGCGGCACAATGCATGACGGTTTAAAAATATATACATACATACAAAAAATATACGGGTTAAGTATTTGTTAAGGGGGGGGGGCATGCTTGGGGGGTGGGGGGGGGGGGGTGTATATATCGTTGACTTGACGCCCGGGTTTCAGCTTTCTCGGTGGTGCAGTTGAAATGGCGAGCTAATGCAGCGGTGCTAATGTCAGTAGTGTGGCTAGCGGAACGCTGGAATAGCATGGGGTAAAAACGGGGGTTGCTGGCTCGATTCTCGGTGTGTGTGTGTATGTGTGTGTGCGTATGTGTGTGTGTAGTTTGTGTGTGTGGGGGGGGGGACCGTTTGGTTCGACTGTTTAGCCTGGATGTCAGTGAGGCTAGGCTAGTAGTGCCTAATTTGCAGAGCTAAGCTAGCTATCGAAACTGCAGCTGTTGCTTGGAGGTCCAGTGGCTCTGTAGGCTGTTTTGTGTTTTATTTTATTTATTTATTTTTTTCTTGTATCGTGCACGAGTTATATTTCGAATCACGTCGTTGGTTCGTTTTTTTTTTCTTTTTCCGGGCGTTAACGTTGTTATTTTTCGACATCCAGGCGACCGGGTCTGCTGCTGGGTCTGGGTCCGGGTCTGGGTCTGCGCTAAGCCACCGTTGGGGTTTTTTATTTTAGTCAGGAAACCTCCTCGTCGCAGCTCGCAGGGAGGGAGGCTGGCGTTACGTTGGCGTTATTACATCGGGTCACTTGCTAACTGCAGTATTTGAAGGGGTTGCCGGTGTTAAAAAAAAGAAAAGGGGAAAAAAAGGGAAGAAAAAAAAAAAGAGGAGAGAGAGGGGGGGAAAAAAAAGAAAAAGTGAGGCCATCAAATTCGGCTACCCTAGGGGTCGCTGTTAAACCCGTCAAGATGATGCACAGGTGAGGGGATGCTAATCCCCTCAGATTGGGTTATGGGATCATGTTATTGAATTGCATTGCAGCATGTTTCAGTCATTTCAGTATGGGCGTCTTGGATGTTTTTGGCAGACGCCTTATTAGGTTGTTGGATTCCTGGATTCAGTGGTCTTTCGATTCAAAAGCCCTGATTGAAAGTTGTTGTTTGTACAGCGGCGTATACAACGGGGTTGCATTTGACAACCGGGCGTCTTACCATGTGCGTTCATGTATGGACGTGCAGGCAACACTTTTTTCACTTCCCTTTTCAATATAGGTCAGGATGTTTCTATGCTCTTCGAAAGCCAAAGCAAACGGACAATAATTGGTTGCACTCCAATGCAAACAGTCACTTGTGAGATGCAACACGTTAATTCAATGAAGCATAGGTGTTTGAATTTAAAAAAAACTAGCGTTCATATTGTGAAGAATGCCATCACAGCTTGTTACTCATTTTAGTATCTCTGAGCATTTGGGGAGTTGAAGGGGATAGGATTGAGCAGAACTTGAATCGTATGGCTCGCAATGCACGTGGGTAAAACAATCATACATGAGTTTGGTTGTTTTACCCACATGCCTTGCAAAGGTCTTGGCTCTAGACCTCAAAGGCTGAACCGTCTTGTCAAGTTCACGGCGTTGTGTAACTCGGTGTAGGCTTGAAGGGCTTTGCCAACTGCCAGGACATGTTGATGTGCACTGATCTACAGGGTTCGTTCCTGCCAGTTTACTGTCGGCTCTTCAATATACTTCACTTCCAGCTAACTAGAGATGGGAGAAAAAGCATAAAACTGATTGCTCAGACATTCTGAAGTTTCCTACGTGTAGAAGAGGGAGATTGTTTAGAGAGTTAACTAACCTCTGATGCAACGTAAAACGGTGTAACTTTTTGAATTTGCCTTTGATTTGGATTCTTAAGGGAATGATTGAATGTAATATTTACAAATGATGAGATGCAAGATGCAACTCTTGAACTTAATCAGTTTGGTCATGTTTATTTGCACATGTGCAAAGTTTTTTTCGAAGAATTCATTTTGACCGTTGATTCATTTTTCCACCTGTTTCCAATTTGTCCACCAAATGGTTGGAACGAAATGTCCATTTTTTCAATTTGAAATGTATAGCACTACTGTACTTTCAAAAATGTTACTTTAAGATGAAATGCTGAAACCTTATAATAAAGTTAAAACCTCCAATGCGACTATGGAGATTGTGGCTACAGATTTACTAATATACAGATGATGCATACGACTAAATCTGTAAATAATAGACGATGTTTCATACAAAATTGTCTGCTCCTAAATCTTTCAGACTTTGCATTCAGCTTCCATACTTTGCTTTCTTCAAATCACAAACTTGATCTTTATCTTTTGACTACAGCTGGTAATTTTGTTTTCTCCTGCTGTGTCTTTCAGTCACACAATACCAGGACTTCAGCATGAGATACAGGAACTGAACATCACCACAATATATTATACAGTGACAGGCACGCAAAGATATTTAAATTGTGATCATTTGATTGATCGATAAATTTGATTTTGTAATTACTTTGTGTAATTAAACCGGATCCATTCCAATCGTTTGTTTCCATTTCAGAAAGGACTATCAGGACAGGAGGTCGTAGTTCATGGAAGACAAGAAAAGGAAGAAAGACGACAAAAGGAAAAGGGAAACCTCTCAGAAGGTAAACTTTAAAAAAAAATTATATATGCACCATTGGGGGGGGGGGGGGCAGGATAGCTTAGTGATTAGGGTGTTTGACTCCCAGCCGAAAGGTTCTGGGTTCGATCCCCAGTCTGCAATCTAGGTAGGTACATTTAATGGCATGTATCTCAAGGCCCTGTAGGTCACTAAATGGTAGAAATAGTACTATATTTAGTTTTGTGTTCCTGCCTTTAATATCACATGAAAATGTTTCCCAACTAATCAAATGCAAAAAGGGTTTTTCCTCCTGCTGACAAGTACCGTCTGTCTTGTGATCAGCAAACAGTCCAGTTGCTCGTTGATCTGTGTTTAACGCTGGCAGGACACTGGAAGTGAACACCCTTGTGTATTACCTGCATGCATTAAAAACATTGTATTACTCCAGATTTACCTTAGCACCATATAGAGCTAATGCAGACATGTCAAGCTTAATACATGTGCAAATATACTTATTCTGATTCTGATGTTTTTTTCTGTTTGTTTTCTGTGCGTCACAGGTTGCAGAGCAAAAAAACAAAGGTAAGCACAACATGTCTCGATGTTTAGCTGAAGTGCATGTGGTGTTGAGATGGGCTCAACTGTCACTGAGCCCATCGCTGTTGACACGCTATTGTAGTAAACATTTAACTTGGTGGTCAAAGGTCGTCAGCTGCCTACATTATTTAAGAACAAGTACCAGCGTAGAGATATGCGCAAGGATATAAAGCATGGCATTCTGTGGCATTAGTGATTACTAGCATAGTGTTTTCTGCCCTCTAGTGGTCAGAATGGGTTTAATGCCTCATTTAGTTCAATGTATTACTTCAATGCATTATAGGTTATCCTAATGCAGTATCTGCTTATTTATGCAATATTTCTTTCCTACTGTTTGTTTTTGACGTATCCTGAACTAGTTACACTAGGAACAAATGGTTGAATCTTGCGACACAAAATGTGGACAGAATACTGACTGATCTGTACCAGATGTAAACGGCTCCCCTTTTCCTCCATCTGCCTTGATCCGCGCTGCAGTGTCAGACGTGACCAAGCCGGTGTCGTCCCAGCCTCCTGCCACCCAGAGCAGCTCTGCCTCTCCCAGCCCTGGATCCACCCCCTCTGCCTCACCCTCCCCAGCTGCCCCGAGTCCTGGCAGCGCCACCACCCCGGCCCAGGGCGCCAACAATGCCAAGCGCCTGGTGGTGGCCAACGGACAGCCCCCCTCCTCTGCCGGTGGCCCAGGCGCCCCTGGGAACACCGGTGCCCCAGCCTCGCAGCAGCAGCAGCGCTACATGCCGCGAGAGGTGCCACCTCGATTCCGCTGCCAACAGGACCACAAAGTGCTACTGAAGAGGGGCCAGCCGCCACTGTCCTCCATGCTGCTGGGAGGAGGAGGAGGTGGAGGTGGTGGTGTGGGAGGAGGAGGAGGTGGTGGTGGTGAAGGCCCCAATGCAAACATGGCTGCTGCTTCAGGTGTGTGTCCAGGACCCGTCAAGGGTGCTGTTAAGCATGGCATGCATATAATATAGTCCATTCAAAAAAGATATAGTGTAGATTATCATGTTTTGAAACCAGGTGATCATGTTTGGAAACCATTTTTTTTACAAGTTGGACTTTGTGGTTTTGTTTGTAGATTCCAGTGCAGCTGCGGTGTCTCTGTCCCTCACCTCATCGGTCGCTGCTTCTACTACTACTTCTAATTATGCAAATTCTATGTGGGGGACAGGCTCTGGAAGCCAGACCTCCGCTCAGGGCAGGGTGATTGTGGATGGGAACAACCTGGAAGAGTGGCCCAGCATCGCCAGCGGCGACGGAGGCGGAGGGTCCTCGGCCAACCTGTCTGCTGGGGGCGGCGGCGGCGGCAACAACAACAACAACAACGGAATGCTTGTGAAAAGCAGCATCAGTGCCTCTGGTAGCCAATCCTCACCCACCTCCTCGTTCCCTTTGCCCAATGAATGTATGCAGTCGTCCGGTGGTGTGGCGTGGGGGTCGGCTGCCCCCCAGGGTCAGCTGGGAGGAGGCGCTCCGGTGTCGGCCGGGGGGCCTCTGCTGCAACAGCCTTCCTCTCTTTCCAAAGCCCCCGCTGCACCAGGGAGCCATGACGCCGTTGGCCCCCTAGATGGCAGCAGTGGGATTCCAGGTGCCAACTTCAACCCAAATGCCAACCCTTCGGCCTGGCCTGCCTTGGTGCAGCAGGATGGGACCCCTGCCGTAGGGGAAGGGGGGCAGTCTTCCCTCCATCACCAAGGTCCCGGTGGGTCTTTGTCTGCCAACAGCCCCGCCTCCCTTGGCCCTGGGCTGGGGAGTGCGGTCGGGGTGCTGGGGGGTCACCCACCTTTATCTGTGAATCAATCAAACGCCCATCAGCACCAAATTCACCAAATGCAATCCAGAGACAGAGAGACAGGCGGGGGGAAGTGGGAGGGTGGATCAGTAGGACCAAAAATGGCAGTTGGAGAGCGGGTGGGCGGAGTGGACTGTGAGGCGGGCGGGAGTGGAGCAGGGCTCGGCGGGGGAGACCCCAGCCTCACCTCCTCACGGAGAGGCCAGCCTTCTTACCCCACTGCCGCCTCCAAAACGGGTGCCTCAAGGACTGACGAATGGGAGGGTGCCGGAGGCGGTGGTAGTGGCGGAGGGGCGTTCGGCGCTGCTGATGGGGACAACGGTACCTCGGGGTGGGGGTACCAGGGTTCCGCGAGCGGGTCTAGCGCGTGGGGCGCAGCCGGAAGCGGGGGGAGCAGCAGCGTGCAAGCCTCTGCGGTATCTCAGGGAGGGTGGGGCTCAAGTGGCGGAGCGGGCGGAGAGAGGGGGGCGCCGGGCGGCGACTGGGGCGGCAACTCTGTTGGTGTGGGTGGAGCCAATCCAGTTGGGGAGGGGCAGGGCGGAGCCTGCGGCAGTAACGGCAGCAGTAGTGGGAGCAGCGCCGGAGGGAACCCGCCCCCCGCCTCGGCCTGCTCCCCCACGGCTCCTGCCACGAGCAGAGCATGGGACAATCAGAGGGGGGAGGGGGAGACCGGGGACTGGGGAGGGGGCCAGGGAGGAAGAGGAGGGTCTTCGTCCAGCGGCGGGAATTCCAGGAGCGGGAGTGGACCTCACGGCGGCCACTCGCGGACCCACCGGCCGGCACCAAACGCTGAAGCTGCCTTACAGAATCTGCTCAGCCGCTCCGACCTGGACCCCCGGGTGTTGTCCAACACGGGCTGGGGCCAGACGCAGATCCGGCAGAACACGTCCTGGGACCTCGACGCGGAAGCAAAACGGGGAGGAGGAGGAGGAGGAGGAGGAGGAGGAGGAAGCAGCAGAAGTGGCTCCTCTTCCTCATCGTCGTCCAAACACCAACAATCTACTTTAAGTTCTTCATCTTCTTCTCAGTATTCTGCTGGCCCGGGGGCCATGGCCACTGACTCGATGGGCCCCGGGGCCAATCCGTCTGCCGGCTCCTCGGGAGAGGGCTGGGAGAGCAGCAGCAACAGTAGCAGCAGCGGAGCCTCGGCGTCCGGCAGGGGGCCGCCTCCCCCGGGCCCCCACATGAGGAGTCCTGGCGTCTCACAATCTAGCTCCATGAGCGCTGGAGCCGCCATGGGAGCGGGGGGGATGGGGTCCATGCACAGCCAGCAGGGGAAGGCCACGGGCTGGGGGGGGTGGGGGGTGGTGGTGGGAGAGGCATGGGGGCCGGGGAAGGCCAAGGAGCCAAAGGTTGGGGAAATGAGGAGTGGAGAGGCAATAGAGGAGGAGGAGGAGGAGGGGGTGGTGGTGGTGGAGGTTGGGGTGATCAGGGTCAACAGGGTACCCCAGCCAGTGGAGGCTGGGGAGAGAGCCAGGAGGAGAAAGGGACAGGGGGAGGGTGGAGGGAGATGGGTAGGGATGGAGGAGGGGGTGGATGGGGTTCAGGGCAGAGGGGTGGGGGTGGTGGGGATTGGGGAGAGCGAGAGCCCAAATCAAACAGTGGTGGAGGAGGAGGAGGAGGAGGCGGCGGTTGGGGGGAGGAAAGGAAGGACATGGGAGGAGGAGTATCGGGTGGGGATTCAGATGTAGGTACATGGGGGAGCTGGGATGAGGCTGGCCCCCGTAGAACCTGGGGAGGAGGTGGTGGTGGAGGAGGAGGAGACGCGGGGCCCAACAAGCCCCACCAAAGCTGGAGTGGAGGGAACGTGGGTGGAAGCAAAATGCACCAGATGCCAAACAGCCAGTCGGGCACCATCAAGGGCCCGCAGGCACCACTGCAACCGCAACAATCACAGCCCCGCAATCCGCAGCAGCAGCACGCTCTGGACCAAGGGGCTATGCAAGGAGGTTGGGGGAGACAGCCTGTCTCCCAAGCCCAGAATCAGAACCAAAGCTCAGGCTGGACCTCGGGGCCAATCCCCAGTGGCCCCGGGGGAGGAGGAGGAGGAGTAGGAGGTGGTGGTGGTGGTGGAGGAGGAGGGGTTGGAGGAGGCGGCGGAGGATCGGAGCCGAGCGGCTGGGAGGAGCCGTCGCCGCAGTCCATCAGCAGGAAGAATGAGATAGACGACGGCACGTCAGCATGGGGAGATCCGACCAATTACAATTACAAGCCGGTCAACCTGTGGGATAAGAACAGTGCACCTGCTGGCCAACAGCCACAGGCCACACACGGCCCGGTGCCTGGGCCAGCTCAGGCGCCGCAGCAGCAGCAGCAGCAGCAGCAACAACAACAGCAGCAGCAGCAGCAGCAGCAGCAACAACAGCAGCAGCAGCAGCAGCAGCAGGGACCTCCAGTACAACAGCAGCCTGCCAGACAAGCTGCTGCGCTGGGTGGGAATAGGGACATGAACCCTGGTCATGGCCCCGGGAAAGTTCTAAATATGGGTAAGAGCTAGAGCTCGACTGAAATGTAACATTTAATTTCAATTGAATTGCACTTGATGTTCTGTCGTGGGTTTTAAAATTGTATCTAAGGTTCAGCACCATGAAGTTCTCCTTGTGATTTTTGTGGAAGTTAACAAATAGGATTGCCAAATGCTGACCTACCCATTATTCCTGCTTGAGTTAAAACTTGTATGAGTGATATTCCCGTATTATGGGAACATTGGTAAAATACATTCTCATTGTTAAGGGCAGATATTAAGCCAGGAAAACCGCAACAACGCTCACATGCGTCT